TTTTTTTTTTTTTTCAAATTTTAAATCAAAATTTTTGTATCTAATTTTAAATTGTACCAAAAAAATTTTTTAATTTTATTGAATATTTTTTAAATTATAGCAAAAAAGCTTAAGACAAAAATACTAGTTTTTATAAAAACATCCATATCTCTATAAAAATTTAAGCTACAATTACAAAATTTTATACAATTGTTACAAATAACAATTAAAGCAATCGATACAAGTTACAAGCTTATTGCTCAATTTTTTGGCATAGGGTGTTTAAAAATACTAAGTTTCTTTTGTAATGTATTTTTGGATTAATTTCGTAATTTATATTCTGAGGTTTCCCCTCGAACCTCAGAAAGCTTTAAACCTTATTGCAAAACATGAGAAATTGCACAAACTGAACAACTTTAAAGTTACAAAATAGTCTTTGAGTATTTCTTGAGAAATTTTAAAAAATGTCTAAAAGTGAAAGTGTGTCATCCATTATTGTAAGATGGTTTACATATATGTATGTATATATATTCAGTTAATCAAGTAAATTTCCTTAAACTTGATTATCGGTTTTGCATGGTTATGCATTGTCTCTAAAGTAAATTTATTATTATTATGCCTATTCAATTTACTTTCATTAACACGCATTTTGATTTACATCAAAACAATTTAAGAACAATTGAACTACAATTAAAGAATTTTATATTGCAAGCTAAAAACAACTGTTTAAAATGGTAAGAATATTAAAAACTTTTGCTCTATAAAATATCTCTCATTTTGTTTTAAATCAAATTATGTATTACATATCTTCCGTATTTTTTGAGGTGATTAAATTTTCAGATTAGTTCTTCAGAGTTAGTTTTCAGATTCTTCGGCAGAATTTTAAATCAGAGCAGTGAAATCGGTAGTTGGAATATTTAGTTCTAGCAGAATTTTTCTTTCTTTCTAGGGTTTATTCTCTATAAACATTTCCTTGTAACTTAGGAAAACCCAAATATTCTTCAGTTAAATGTTAATTTCTTCATTTGTATTTTTTTTTTTTTTTAATTTTTATCTTTTATTTAACCTATCATGTGTTGACCCTCTGAATTCTAATGAAATGCCCCCACTACTTTTCCATTGAATAATTTAAAGGGAAAAAAAGTTTTTTTTAATGCAGGGAGGCCTGAATCCTGAAATTTGGAAAAATCTGGCGCCAACGCTCTGAAGGTGAAAAGGAAATTTCATATTGCAACAGTTAAAAGAAACTTACTATAACCTATATTTTTGTACAAAACATTGAAATTGTTCAAAATAATTTTAGAAAAAGTATCAATATCACAGAAATGTAATAAATTTATAAAACAACTTATATAACTTTAAATTGCACGTTTATTAATGCTTTTAAACACTTTTTCTTTCTTTCTAGCTGACATTGAAGATTGCCTCAAGAAATATAATTTAAAAATGGCCAAAGTTCTTGAAAGAAGATGTGGCATTGAACATTTGTTTGCACTTAGATTTTCATTCAAAAATTCTCCCTTACATACTAAATAAATAAATTTTTTTGTAATAAATAAATTTATATTGTTGTATAAAACCCCACAGCTGATTGATTTTTTATTCAATTATAATTTTGTTTCAATATCTCAGAGTTGAAGGGACGCTTAAAGATTGTCGAGATAGAGAGCTTTCGAGATAACAAGTTCAGTACTAAACATGTTCTAAGAAGCAGAAAAATATATTCTAAAATATTACTTTAAAAAGTAGAGTCGTGAAACATAAGATTAATTTCTGATAAATATGTGTGTAATGATAGTTCACTATAAGTTGAAATAAAATTATTATTTTATATTTAAAAGTAAGGCAAAAAAATGCATTAAATAGAAAAGAATAACTTTTTATAAACTTACATTGTGATTTTTCCGAAAAAATTAATTTTCTATTAATGAAACTCTTCAATATAGGAATTCAAATTAACATTAGGTATATAATGCCAAGAGGGAAAATAATTATAATATTTTTCCAAAACAAAACAAATCTTCTTGATTATTGTATATACTTCAATGATTTGAATCAATGTTTTTTTTTTAATTGAAACTTAAAAAAGTGTTTGGATCATTGACTCTGAAATTTTATAGTGTTTGAGTTTTTTATTTTATTGATTTAATTCTATGTTTTCTTTTAATTTATGTTTTAAAGTGGGTGATAAAAATTTCCAGTTCAATTGCTGATTTTAATGATATGATTTAAATTGTTTCTAAAGGATTTTTTTAGTGCTTGAAATTAATTAAAGTATTTGTTTGATGAAAACAAAACCTTCCCTTCATCATTTGTTTTTCATCTGACTAATAACAAAATATAATCACTAAAATTAATTTATTTACAATCCCACATTTAAAAAAATCCTTAATATGAAGGTGCACGGGGGAAAAAATTAAAGAATAGTGCTAAAACTGTTGGAAAATTCCCCCATATCTTAATAGCTGCATGCTCAATATAACAATCAGGGCACATTACGGAAAGTACACTACTAAGGCAAGTTTCCAATTCACCAACAAAATTCTAATATTAAATTTAACATAATTTTATGGTAAAGCATTTAAAAATTCTTGTTATTATGACAAATTTTATTTTGAGGGCAGTATATTTTTCAGTTTAAGTGAACATTATTGTACTGTGAAAGTCAAAATTAATGATAATTTTATTTACTTCTGTTATCAATTCAAAAAATAGAAAAATCAATATCATTTTGCCATATTTCCTTCTTGAAATCTTAACCCTTTATGTTTCTATAGAAAACCTGTTTCTGTGACCAATTGTTAAGTTATCTTCTTCCTTACTAGAAAAAGAAATTTTATGATGTTGTATTCTTTCAAGAAAATGTTTCTTTTGTTGATTGTGTATCTATCTTTCTTCCTTATTTCCCTTTTTAACAGTTTACTCTAGAAATCAATATTTAATTTTACCAATCTATTGCAGTTTCTTTTTCTGTTGCATTTTAAAAAAACTCCCATAATGGTCCACAATTTGTTAACAAAACCCGTCTCTATTAAATAAGTATTTTAAATCAAAATAATGGTTCAAAATCAAAGGTGGAAGAGGACATAGCGGTTTTGCTTCATCTTTTAATCTATTTAACCGCTTCCCTAATTATCCCGAGTTAACTCGGGTATGTATATGTATTACAAATATTCATTATCCATGGCAGAATTTGTCAGTGCGTTTTGTTTCATTTCATTTTTACTCGGCCGGAAGCAAAAAGAATAATCTATTGTATTGGAAATTTGCCACGTTTTGTTTGGGAGTTTCGCTGTTGGATTGTGAGACTGCACACGTGTTTTATGCGATTGTATATACGATGTAACCGAATTTACATTAAGTAAAATAAATAAATAAAAATAAAAAGAGTAAAAATAAAATGGCGAATCTTTTCACTGCAGTTAGGAAAGTATCACTTTGTGTTGTCCCTTATATTAAAAACTATCATCCGAAGACTAGTACAGTACAGAACCCGTTATCCGGAAATCAGAAAACCGGAAAACCAAAAAACCGGAATGAAATTCCATACATTTTCCCACCATTTTCAAAAAAAAAAAATTTTTTTTTTCCTCATAAGATTTCAGGNATTATCCCGAGTTAACTCGGGTATGTATATGTATTACAAATATTCATTATCCATGGCAGAATTTGTCAGTGCGTTTTGTTTCATTACGTTTTTACTCGGACGGAAGCAAAAAGAATAATCTATTGTATTGGAAGTTTGCCACGTTTTGTTTGGGAGTTTCGCTGTTGGATTGTGAGACTGCACACGTGATTAATGCGATTGTATATATGATGTAACCGAATTTACATTAAGTAAAATAATTTAATAAAAATAAAAAGAGTAAAAAAAATGGCGAATCTTTTCACTGGAGTTAGAAAAGTATCATTTTGTGTTGTCCCTTATATTAAAAACTATCATCCGAAGACTAGTATGTCACTTTTTTTTAATTTGCCCGAGATTACTCGGGATAGTATACTGATGGTAAATTAAATGTTTTTTACGCATTAAAAAATTAATTTTTCAACTTGAAACTGGTTTATTATGTTTTGTTTTAGTTCCTTGTATTTACTAACAAAATTAAAAAGATATGTTGATTTTTTGCTTTTTTTTTTCTTCAAAAAAATTGGTAAGGTGAGCGGTTAATTCTTATAACGACAATTTCATCTGTCATTAGGAGTTGTTGCTATAACGGACTTTTACAGTATGTTTTTCAACATATTTTTGAAATTCAGTTCTTAAGGAAAATTGAAAAATAGCATCCATAATGAAAACAAGGAAAAAGTTGAGAAAGGTGGTTCTTGTGTGAAAGATGTTTTCTAGCCCGTTTAGGCAAATATGAGGGTTATTTTTTTTAAATAAGGGCCGTTTGAAAATAAAAACCAAATGAAGGAGAATTTTCGAGAAGCAAATTTATTTTCAGATTCTACATACGTTTCTCATTTTTTTAAGCATAGTTGCCAAGTTCGTTTAATCACTTATCATACTTTGCAACCAGATTTAGAATACCCTCTTCATACTAACTTGCCACCTGCTCCGTTAACCATGAGGTCACGGTCGTTTTCACGTGTTCGACATCGTTGTAGTGATTGCCGCCAAAAGGATGTTTGAAATATCGGAAAAGATGAAAATCCCTCAGCGCAAGGTCTGGACTGTAGGGAAGGGTGTCCAAAACTTCCCAACCAAAAGAATCCAAAAAAGTTCGGGTCTGAACTGCGTAGAAAGTCACTGTCAGAGAGTATCAAAATTCTCCGTCAGCATGGTAGGGAATTTTGATACTTTACAAATCTGTCTGTGAATGTATGCAGTTGACAGGTTTTTGGCATCTAAAAACGCATCACTCACCTTATTTCGTGCGTGGTGAGCGATTTGTTAAATTTGAACATTTTAAAGACACAGAACTGACCGTACAGTTTATCTACACTGCTGCAACTGAGCACAGTTAATCCCGAGGAATGCCGGGACACGACGCAAGCACTCTCTGAGACGCACGCGTCACCTATTAGTGTACGCAACGAAACGGCCCTTACTTAAAAAACAATCCTCGTGAATTGTTTTTTGATGACTTTAATCCCTCCATTATCCTCAATAGTAATTGGTCACAATAAGAAAGTTCTTTTATTTCTGACTTAAATATTAATCTGTGACCCCTAATGTGCATAGTTTTTATCTTTCATTTTTTTAAAAGAATCTAAAAATATGTATTAAGGAGCAGTGTTCGCATCAGAGGCCATCATTCCAACTGACAGCTCCCATTGCTGGTAAAATTATTTTGTCAACATGATCACTTCGCGAGCACAATCATTCCGATTTATATTTTTTTTGTCAAACTTTCTTTGAGAATTGTCGAAATTTACTCTGAGAAACTTTATGATTTTTTTTTAATATTCAATATTTTGTAACCGTCATATTTGTTCCATTAAAAAAATTACTTATGCTAATTATTTTGTAAGCTTGATTATTGCTACGACTTGAAAAAGGAATTGTAAAATATTAGCACTATAAAAACATCTCAAGTTTGAAATGAAGTACCTATCAACTCTTAACCTTAATTTTTTTTTTGTTCTTTTTTTTCACTTTGAGAATTTTTTAAAATATTTTTTTATTTAATGAGCATTTTTTTTCCATTAAAAACTTATTCAAAAGTTTGGTTATTGTACCAAACCTGACCTGAGGGAGAAATTATGTATTATCACTTAATTATTGTCATAACTTTTAAACTTCTGTTTACATTTTCGAAAGACGAAATCGAGAAACGATTTAAATATGAAACAGGTATTGAGATTCGTCGTATGAACTAGAATGGAGTAGAAGGTGTGCTAGTTGAAGATAAAAAATAAATTAAAGAACTAGCATCATTATTATTATAAATATTAGCATCAATTCAAATAATTTTAAAATTTTTCGATCTTTTTTTTTAATGAAAGGAGAATTTTTGACATTGATTTTGTAAGACTGGTAGAATGCGTAGTTTTTTTTAACTATTCGGGGTTTTTTTAAGGGCACCCAAATTTTTAAATTTAATAACTGAGAAACTAATTCTAAATTTCAAAAAAGTTAAATAATTTATTTTATTATCTACTTTAAAAATTATAAAATCTCTGCGATTAGTTTTTTTCTTCTTCTTTTCATTGAAAAACTATCAATATAATATATTTACTCCATTACTAATTCGAAATTTAAGCATAGTTAGATTAGTTGACTCATTTACAGATTTTTAAATTTGTTGCAGTCAAGAGAACGTGTTTGAAAAAAATTCTTAATTCTCTTGTTAAGAGATATCGCTAAACTGAATTACTCGGTATAAAAAAAAAGATATCTTCAACTTTGATTTAAGGTATTTCAAAAAGTAATTACCGCATCATTAATATTTTGCTCTTAAAATATTCTTTAACATTCCCTTATAAATTTTCATATTGTTTCATTCGGCGAAGATTTTCTGATACAGCATTCATGTCAGCAGCAACCAAGGGTGCCGGCAGCGGGGTGCACTTGCAACCCCCTGGCTTTTTTTTTTCTAACAATTAAAGAGATACAAAAAAATAATTTTATTATAA